ACTATTTCTCTCTGACTGAAAAATAGAATAATTAAAACTATAGAGGCTCTTAACAAACATGCAAAAATCAATGTAGGCAATTAGGGAGCAACAGATAACCACTCCCAACCCTCTGCAGTGTAAGTCTAAAATAACAACCAAGTTTTTTCTTCACTTTTAAAAAAGGGAAAAAAATATAAAAACAGTGCATCCCAACCCTTTGAAAACAGGCATGGAAATCACAAGAAAACATTTCATTCTTTGAACTCTGATTTGAGGTTTGGGCAAACATTTTGGTACTAATTTGATTTCAGACGAATAAACTATAGAATTCTTTCAATTTATTACAGGTCTAATTTGCCATAGGGATGCCTGTATTATTTCTACCAGTATTTTAATAGAAATTTTAAATGTATATTCATAACACTTAGTCACTTCCCTTTAAAAATAATTTTTTTCAGTCTGCATGTAAAGTGACCAGATGCCTAATTAGAAATCCTGAAACTCAGCTGTATTGAGTTAATAAGTATCCATGGCAAGTATTAACTGGAATATTAGATTAACCAGAATATCCCATTCCTCAACAATGAGGAAAAAATGTAAGTTCATAAAACAAGCTGTCAAAGTGGTTTGGGAAATTTCTAAATAAGATCATTATATTTAGATGTTCTTGCTAACCCAACACTGATTATAAAACAAACCATACCCAAATTTACCAACTTCATTTGTTTATCCTTTCTTGTTTTTGGTTTTGTTGTTTTGTTATTTCCCCTCAACTTCCACTCCCTGTCCCCTGGAAATTTTATTGTTTTATAGACTGAAGCTTTCCATATTTGCTTTCAGCCAAAGGAAGTTTATAGATTATTGGATTTGTGTATTTTTTGCTTGCTTCTTGAAGGATAGAAAAATAATACCTTTCACTTGAATCCTACTATACACACACATAATTATAATCTCCCTATTGTAAAGGTTTTGTGGTATATTAGTAAATCAAATTGAGCAAAACTTCAATAATCCTAATTAATCATCTGGCCACTTTTCCCAGAGCTGAAAATAGTTTTTTTCTTCTGAAGGAAAAGCAATGAAGAGTTGCAAAATATATATACTCTTAATGTTCTACTAAAATGTTGAATAAAATGTAACTGATGTACTTTATAGGAAAAGATATACAATCTCATTATATTTGTAAGTGTTCTGGAGCTTAGTCATGTTTAAAGTAAATTAACAAATCCATATTTACATAAATCTCTACTTCTTTTCAAGGTTTTGAGAAGTAATGCACTTCTGTTTTCTTAAGAAAGGCAATTAAACACTTTCAGGATATATAAGTAGCATAAACATGCATAATACTTAATTCAAATTGTTGGCATGAAAGTCAACTGGTATAACGTATGCAAAGGGCATAAACACGGGGCACAAGGCAGGTGGTCAGACCGACTCAGTGCCTGTAAGTGGAGGCAAGATGCCCTCTTACTGCTTAAGTCCCCTACACATCAGTTTCTTCATCTGTAAAACCAGGATAATAACACGGCCTGCTCTACAGGATTGCTATGACAAATAAATGTTGAAAACAGTGTCTAACATATGGTAGTTTTCAGCAAATGTTAGTTTTTGTTTTTTAAATCTTACTATCCCACATAAAACCATCTTTCCAAAAATACCAATAGGGGGATTTACACACACACACGTATATATAGATAATCTTATTAAGATTGCAAAAATCTTGGACACTAAAGTTAGGGTCTTATTTCCTAACCTGGATTAATAAACATGAAACCCATGTTCTGTAAATGTCACTGTTTTCGATACAGAACTGATTTAATGAGTTAATGTGTAAATTCAAGCAATGTGTATTATGTCTGTATTGGTCACTATCAGAAATGAAGAAAAACCAAAGAATGCCTTTTTCAGTTCATGCAGAGGAATCAAAGGAGGCAAGTAAGCTATTTTTTGTCATTTGCTAATGTTCTAGAGTTGAAATGACTCATGAACCATCTATGTATTGTGAAAAACAAAGTGCTTCTGAGAAGAATATTTGTTCTTTCAGTCTGTCCTATTCTATGAACAATAGGTGGGATCTTAAAAAACAAAAACAACTGAGATGGAAAAATGTACAAAGTGAAGAATCATATAAAAAATAAATGAGAAACAACAACAAAAAAAAACAGATGGTCTTTCCTTAGCTGCACTACTGGTTCTAAAGTCATTTATAAAACAACAATGCCACCTGTTGGAAAGAGGAAGCAAGCGAGATAACAAATGTTTGTCCACCCATTTTTATTAACACCTTGCCTATACAATTCTGGACTTGTAAGTCATGTGTTCTGGTCCTCAAATCTTCCTAATCCTTGTCACCCTTCTCCTTACCTCTGAACATAAGTGTTTCTCTGCTCTGTGTAGCACACTCTTGCTGGAGGTTATTTGTGGTTATTATTCTCTGTTCCAAAATATTCTTCCCCTAGATGTCTTCATGGCTTCCTCACTTCCCTTTCCTTCTAAACTTTACTCAGGGATAACTCGGTATTAAAGGGACACATTATATATGTGCTGTGTCTTTGTTAATAATAATCCGGCTCCCTTAATAGGGAATCATATTTCATGAAGGCAGATTTTTGTGTCTACCTTGTTCTCTGTGAAGTTCCATCACCCAGAAGAGTAGCTGGCAGGAAGCTGTTTTCCAAAACTAGGATTGGGCTGTAGTATGAGACAGAAGAGAATGAAAAATAAGCCCCATTTGCAAGCAACCATCTCCTTAATAGAACAAATGAATGATAGCTTCTACCCATGGTTCATGGAGGAGTCTCTATTTTAAAACCTGAACTTGTTTTTCTCCAGAAAATTACAATCTATATATAGGCATTTGTTTTATTACTTCTTCACAGTTATGTGTTGTCTTCTTACAGGGGACTGATGGAAGAAAAAAGAGAAATGTCCGCTACCTGCCACTTAACAGAAGACATTAGTTTTAGTAAATCAGATCATTGTTAATCAGCAAAGATGGTTCCACTTGTAGAACTTTAGACATTTTCCACTTTCCTCTCCCTGCCATTACTATGAGTCACAAGTCTCAGAAATGCCAAGAAAGAAAATCAGTTTGAAACAGTGACAGGGAGGTTTCATGTACATCTTAGATACTGATTTGGAGAATCAAAACTACTTGGGATAGATTTGGTGTACTTTCAGATTGGAAGTCTATCACTGTTGCTCAAGATGACACTTGCTAACATTAGTCTCACAATGAAACCTTAGATGCTATTGCTTCTCCATTTTGAGTAAGCACATGACAAAGCTGACATTTGTTTGGGCTTCAAGCAGCAGAGAAAATATGGAGGGAGGGAGTAAGAGTTATTAAAGAACAGCAGGAGACTAAGGGAAACAAGCATCTCTGCTTTTTATCTTTGGGTGAGATATGTTCACTAGGGCTTCTCTAGATCTATCTCCTGGCTAGGTTAACTGGGTTTAAAAAAATGTGTAGATGCCAGTTGTACAAAAAGCGAGACATATAAGGAAATGTGCAATGACCTATGAGTGCCACCTATGAGTTTAAAGTCATCAAATTCTAATTAAGGTAAACAATGAAGACCTACAAGAGGAAGCACAAATTGAAAAGTTGAAAGCAGAAGAGATATGGGCTCTAATGAGAAATAGAAAGCCAGATGGTGGGAGTCATTACAACCATTCAACTTTTTGCTCATTCTTCCAGATATCTGGTACAGTTGCATTCTCCTGCCTCCTTGAGGTTTGGTGTGTCTATGAATTCATATGAGTGAATTGGGATGGCAACCCAGGTGACCTCTGAACAAATGTTTTTAAAATCAGTACACAATTTTCCATATATCCTTTACCTGCCTCAGGAATTTTGGATCCAAATGTTGATTGGGAGTTTCTCTCAGTCTAGACTCTGGGTAATCAGGAGTTCACTACTAATCCACATGAGATATATGCTGTTACTGTATCAAGTCATCAAGATTTGAGACCTGATTGTTACTGCAGCTAGTAACATATTAACACACAGGGTCCCCATGGAATCATAAAATAATAAGTGAAAGTAAAAAAGCACAGTCCTAAAGAAACTAAAATTGGAAAACATTGGTTTGGGGGGAACTGCAAGACAGGGGTATATTTAGAAAGCTAGAGAAAAATGGTTCACATGTAGTATATGAAGTAAATATATATGTATCTTCAAAATTTGACTTCCCTCCAACTGAACAGTATATTGTTACCCTAATTTTCCAACCCCCCAAATAGCAGCAACAACATCATAAACAACTTTAACAATACAGAGGTACTTTTAAGGTATTTTCTTTCTCTTCTATAGATGTTCTTTATTTAATTTTCCATACTGGAAATCATAGTATCAACTGTATCCCATATTCTATCACTGGCCACATAGTCTTTTTATACAGCAGGCAGAGGAATTGTATTAAAACATAAACCGATGCCAATCCTCTGTACAATATCCTCTAATAGCATCACAGTGTATTCAGAGAATAACCCAGACCTTATTGGAGCCATTAAGACTTCAGGCCTCATCTCCTCTGACTTCCTTGACCTCCTTCTCCTTATCTCTGTGCATAGAGGTTCCTTGGTTCTGTCAAGCAACCCCTGCTTGAGAGTATTTGTACTTATTACTTCTAGTACCAAAATGTTCTCCCCCTACATATAGACACAGTTCCCCTATTTTCTTCTAGACTCTACCTATCATATTGATCATTCATTTTTCTGTGTGGTATTTAAGATCATGTGATATACTATATAATTGCATGTGTCTCTGTTAATAATTGGTTCCCTTCTTTTTTTTTCTGTGAAGGTTTATATATACATATATATTTTATATCATTTTTCACTTTGTACATTTTTTTTCATCTCAGCTGTAATCCCTGTTGACTTCCACCACCTCGTTACCCATGTGCTATCACACGATGATTTTGGTCCATCATCCAGAAAAGCTCCTTGCAGGAAAGAGTTGTTCAGCCATTAGTTTGGATTAATTTCGAGTATTGAACTTCTCTCTTCAACAGCGAGCCTACATTCCCCCTTCTGAGTCCCTGAATTTACAGAAGTCCAGGAAGCTGCTGGGGCTAGTTCAGGACTACAGCAAGTCAGCTCCTGAGAGAAATGGGAGAGGGTTCACTGCTGAGGGTAAGTGCAGTCAGTAACAAAATTTGCCCTTGATCCTGAAGAGAGACAAACAAGGGCACATTTTGTGAGTTTTTAACTTAAACTAATTTTTAAAGTGTGGGATCATGTCCTTACATTTTCGGTACATTTCATTTGTGAAATGATGATGGAGTTTCCACCTTACTTCAACTTTTTTTTTAAAGATTGATTTATTTATGCATGCAGAATTGTGGCATAAGCCAGAGGTACATTATGTGGACTATAATGTGGACTATACCTGATGGGGGAAATCAACTATTGTACAAAAATGATCAATGATGTAAGAAAATTAAAAAGTTAATTAATTTAAAAAAAATTGAAGTAGGGGCCCTTCCTGGTGGCACAGTGTGTTAAAGCACAGCACTGAGAAGCTAAAGCCACTTCCGCATGAGTTTGATCCCCATCTGCCCCAGAGGCGACCACATGGTGTGGCAGACCTCTCCTGACCCACCCGCTGCTCCCCTCAGCAGTGTACTTGGTCAATCAGCCTGTTCTGCTCCCCTCTCTATCTCTGGTGAATTCTCTCACCACCCCTGTACCTCTGGCTTATGCCACAATTCTGCATGCATAAATAAAAAAAAAAGTTGAAGTAAGGTGGAAAGAGTGTTAGTATTGAAAGCAAACGGTTTAGGATAAACTAGGTAGGTGATAGAACATACGAGTACATTCCTGGATGTCCTATTACCTGGTCACTCCCTTTGCTGTTTTAGCATTGTTTATACTTCTCTTAAATATTGTGTGTGTATGTGTTACAAATATCAAACTAAAATCTAAACTTTATTGTAGGCCAGAAATTTGCCTCCATATATACATAGATATATGATGGCCCTAATCAGTAAGCCCACACAGTACCCAGCACTAGGTATACATTGTATGTCTGCTGTGTTCTGCTTTTGTTTATTCTCATTTTTGATCTTTCTTTTCTTTCTAAAATTTATTTATGTACACTTGCAGAACTGGGGTACAGGCCAGAGCTATAGTGGGTGCCAGAGCAGGGAACCAGAGACAGAGTAGGGAACTGAACAGGCAGATTGACGAAGCACACTGCTGAGGGGAGCAGTGGGCCGGCCAGGAGAGGTCTGCCATGCCATACAGGCCAGCTCTGGCCAGGGATGGAACTTAGGCTGCAGTGGCTTCTGTGAGCTTCATAGTGCAGTGCTTTAATCTGTTGTGCCACCAGGGAGAGCCCTGATTGTCTTTCTTAATGAGCTAAAGACTACTCTAGCTGTACAAAATTTCTTCCCTATCCCTGGTACAGTATTGGCTCCTGACTTTCCCTCAATCATATTTCTTGTTGTCTTGGCATCTAAGAGGCAAAATGCCAAGTCCCAGATCACAATCAGCCAACCCTGGTCATTCATATGCTACTCAAAATGGAATGCACTCCTTCTGTAGAATTCATGGTCTTAGAAAAAAGGCTAAATTTTTCCCAAGCAGTCTGTTGATTCTATCATGTTCTCATGAGCCATGGAGTCCTGACTTCTGGGTGAGAAATCTGGACCACCATCAGGCTGTGTACATTGTGACCAGAATCACTGAAAAACAATGAATTCCAGGATCAAAAGGAATTTAAGGGTGTCTTAGTACAACATCCTCTTTATAGTGTAATTGAAGACCATCAGTAATTCATGTGATAAATTTAGCATTAGGAATTATTCTTTAAACATTTGAGAATTTGAAATCTCCCTTTCTGAAACATATGTCCATTATTTGTTTATTAGTATTTGAAAACTGAGCTTCTTACCACATGTCAAGTTCTGTGCAATGTGATGAGACTATACATATGGGTAAGCTTCTGTTTTCAGTAATCATGGTTGGGTTGGAAGATAGTTACATGAATATATAATCAACATGCTGTATACATATAAAATGATACATATTTTGGTATGAAAGCAGGACAGAAAAGTTTGGGCTGACAGAGAAAAAGGGGAAGTTTCCTGGAGTATGTGATACATCATTTCTTTCTCTAGCTTGTTAATTATGCAACTATTTAATCAGCTACTAATCAGCCCAACTATACTACCCATACCAAACTTTTGCATCTTTTCTATGAACATAATAACCTTGGTAAAGGCATATTGATTGGTTCCCCATCATTCTTTCTTCATTTCACTCCATCTCACACCTATGTAGAAGCAATGACATTTGAAGAACTAACTGCAACTCCAGTCATAATACCATATGCTTTCCCAGGAGTTCTCAGCTAAGTCGATGGATGAATAGCAATCCACTCATACACATAATGTTTAAAGGGTGGGTACATTATGAAGGGAAACATATTCAGTGCTTGGAAATGTCATGCACTTTCACTTCCTCTTTCAAGAAATGAAAAGAAACATTTGTGTAGCCTGTTTCTACTAGTAGACAATTTACATTATGGTGAAACCAACACTGTTTTTAGAACAGAGACACAGAAAGGACCTGGAACCTTATTCATTGAATCAACTGTTGGATCAACCAATCCTGACTCATAGTTTCTATCATGTAAACCAGTAAATGTACTTACTCTAGAAGCTAGTTTGATTTGCGTTTTTGATTACTTGCACCTAAAAACATGTTAAGTGCTTAATCTGCCGAGTATCTTATTAAGATGAAGAGATAACATGACTTATGGCTTTCCCTCCAAACAACCAGTCTAATAATATTAAGAATGAAAAGAAATCCTTTGTTATTCCATAGTTTTGTGGATCAATTATGGTTCATTGTGTTCAAAGGCACATTTCCCAGGAGAAATGTTCCTGACTTGTTTAGAGTGTGGATAACAGTTGGAAGCAATTCAGCTCTACAATTACTGATAACATGTCTCCTTTCAGCCTGCGTTATGCTGGACACCGAGTATATGCAAAGTAGTTCTGAATAAGATATGGCTCCTTTCTTCAAGGAGTTTAAAATCCTTTGGAATTCAAATGTAATATAAGGAGCTTGAGCTTGGGTGTCATATATTCAGTTTCAAATCTTGCACTGCTATTACTTGTCTGGCACCATACATATGCTGTCTTTTTTAATCTTCCCATCAACTGTTAAGGTCATTATTTATGAATGAGGAAATTAAGTTCAAAGAGGTAACAAACTTTCCCAAAGTCACTTGTCAGACATGATGGCGCTGGGAAATGAATACAGGACTGAGTCCAAAACCAGAGGTATAACCACGTTTAGGTGGGATCTGAGTGTGACCCCAGACAGCTAATTTATGTCTATTGTAGTTCTTCTGTCTTGGAGATGCAGTTGAAGTCAAAGGTGGTATTCAGTTGGCCTGTAAGCAGGGGAGCTCTCAAATAGGCAAAACCTCCATCTGATGGTAATTAGCGCAAAAGGCAAGAGCATTGTATAAAATTTTTTGGTTTTTCTTCCACTGAATGAAGATTTATTATACCTAATCTATGACAGGCATTGTGCTAAACACAATGAAGAATACAAAGATCCACAGGGTTCATTTTCTGCTCTGAAGAAATTGTGATCTTTTAAATAATATTAGCTGCTGGGTATCATATGTCTTTTAACCTTTCATAAATCATCTGTAATCCTAAAGTAGAATTGCAGTATAAGTTTTGATTCGCATTCTATGGATGGAGACTTGGAAAGGCTAACCCAAGTCGTACAAGCAAATCAAGATTGAAAGCCAGGGGTCCGTCTGGTGGCACAAGGGGTTAAATTTCAGCCTTATGATGCTATTGCCAGCCACTGCAGGATGAGTTCAATCCCCAGCCAGGGGGCTGACCCACATGGCATAACAGACCTCTCCTGTCTTGCCCACTGCTCTCCTCAGCAAGGTATTTCAGTCTATCTGCCTATTCTGCTCCCCACTCTGTCTCTGGTGAATCCTCTCACCTTTCTGTACCTCTGGCCTACACCCCAGTTGTTGTGTGCATGAATAAATAAATCTTTAAAAAAAAAAAAAAGATTCAAAGCCAGTGACCCAAAGTCCATATTCTCTTTATAGTGTCATACACATCTGAAGCCTATACTTGATTGAGAGAAATTGTATTCAATAAATATTTCTTCCTCGTTCTCCACTCCTACCATGAAACTGCCATTCCTCTCAGGCTGAGTGTATACCAAAATGCTATGTTTATTTAGGCACCCACGGAATTCACATCATGTATTTTCAACTCGATCTTTTCCGCACACTTAACAAGTTACTGATCTTGAGAAATCTGAGAGCTGAACATTATGTTTCAAGTACTGCTGGCCATAATAGGCACTCTTGCCTCTAGCATAGAGCTAGTTATATGATTTAGATTCCACAAATACATTTTAAACACATACTGTACATGCTAGACACTTCCACATATGTTGTTTCATGGCTTTACTTTCAAATAATAAATTTGAAGCTGTAGTAAATTGTCAAGGTCACTCACATGCTAAGTGTGACTCCATGATGCAAAATCCAGTTCTGACAAGTGTAGTTTTAAGTCTATGTCCAAGTTTTCAACATATTTTCAAGGCTCTGTCCAAGTCTAGTATATTTTCTGCTACACCAGATGTGAGTGCTGTTGATTTTTGTATGGTGAGAACCTCTTTTATTTAAAACACTTACTCTCCTTCTTCCTCTCATTCCACTTTCATGGTTGTTTTTGGAATATTTTACATCTATGCAACCTCTATGCATACCTCAATGTCTATGCTTTTTTCCTTAGTGTCTCATAATTACTGGTCCTGGCTCCAAGTTGTCCCTCATAACTATTCCCAGCGGCCATGGCTCACCATGCTACAGTCTGTCTCTCAGTTAAACTTTCATGAGAAAAGTCTCCTTTGTGGCATTTACCAAAGGAAAAAAAGATCTCCCAAGCTTCTCTAAATAGCATAAAGTAATGCCTTTCTCATAGTCATAAGAAAGGGGTTTTTTTTTACCCTTTTTCCTTTCTTTTTTTAACTCGTATTACTTGTCCCTTCTAAGACCTGATAGCTTGCCACATGAAAACTACTCAAATAGACTTTCTTTAAACTTTTAATATGACTGTGATTTACTCCCATCAGCCCCA